CTTCTAAAATGCCAACCTGAAAGAGAAAATAAGGCCGGGTGTGGTGGTGGCATGCTTTTAACCTCAGTACTTGGGAGGCAGAGGCAGGAGGATCTCTGAGTGCAAGGCCAACCTGATCCATATAGTGAGTAGCAAGCTTTAGGCCAGCCAAGACTGCATAGTGAGACCCTGTCTAAAAAAGAACAAGAAAAGAATACTTCTGCTGGGGCTGGAAAGATGGCTCAGATACTGGCTGCTCTAACAGAGGACTCGGGTTCAATTCCCAGCTGCCACATGGCAGCTAACAAACCATCTCTAACTCCAGTTCCAGGGGATCCCATGTCCTCTTCTGATCTCCGTGGGCATTCAGGACATGGGTGCACTTAAATACATGCAGGCAATACACATAAAATCAGAATACTAAATAAAAAAATATATATATATTTATAAAATAGTTCTGTTACACTGGATATGAACATTAGTGTTGTGGAGCACAGGAAACTATACTGTTTTTCATTTGCAAATAGAAAACTAATTTAGGGCAGTACAGAGTACCTTAACAGATGGACTCATCTTTTATATGAGAAATAAGACCTGCTAATATATAAAGCCAATTTATAGTTTAAAAACTGCCCAAAGGTGCAAAACAAACACACATGGTATATAGTTCCATGTATAGGAAATTCTAGAAGTGGTGAAATGAATCCACAGTAATACCTAATCATTGGTAGTCTAAGGTGAGATTTAGGAGGATAGGAGGAGGAGGAACTATTCTTTAGGGAAAATGTTTTCCAAGGTGTGTACATTTTTCAAGTTTACCAAAAAGTACAAATAAAATTAGTGTATGTAATTTTATTGCATGCAAATTAATGCCTCAATGAAGTCTTTTGTTGTTTTGAGACAAGGTCTCATTCTGTGACATGTTCTTTCATTGGAAGTGATGTTTTGGAGCAGATTCCTGTGAAGGTAAGTGGAAAGTTTACAGGAAGAGGCAGGGAGAGACATACACTAATGCAATCTGAATCCTGTGAAAGAATAGATACATAGGGCAGCAACAGCTTTGTATTGCAACATTGTCCTAAGAACATTTGATGAGGCCAGTGCAGAATTCTCTTGTCAAAGGTCACCATTGGAGAAGTTATCAGGGACTACCTTAGTATTCCTCTTAAGTTAATTGCTGGCTAAAAGCCAGTTGAGGTCTGGTAGATGGTGATGGATTCAGAAGATAACAGCTTGGAACATCACTTAAGACTTCTCACAGCAGATGTGATAGGCTCATTTCCATGGCTGCCAAAATTCTCTAGTTATGGTCAACTTTTTGCCCTGGTTTTTCAAGTTGTTTAACTTATTTTCAATATTTTATTATTTTTATGTGTTTTGCCTGTGTGTAGGTAAGTGCACCCGTGTTGTGCAGTGCCTTCGGAGGACAGAAGAGACTGTCAGATCCCCTGGAACTGGAGTTATGGACAGTTGTCAGCTGCCATGTGGGTGCTGGGATTTGAACCTGGGTCTTCTGCAAGAATCACCAGTATTCTTAACCGCTGAGCCATCTCTCCAGCCCCTAAATTATTTTTGAGAAAGGGTCTTGCCGTGTGGCCTATGCTAGCTTGAAACTTTCCATCTTCCTGCTTAAGCTTCATGAGCACTGGGACTACAGGTAGAGGTGAATACCACCATGCCTTGCTTGGAGTTACAAATCTGGTAACTTTAGGACCAATATTTCATTTTTATGCATTCTCATTGTATTGGGAGGAGAGGTATACCAATTATGTTGTGATAAATGCTTGTTTTTCACTTTTTTGGTCTTTTTGTAGCGCCAATTGGCCTGGAACTCATTATGTAGATCAGGCTGGCCTTGAACTCACGGAGATCCGCCTGCCTCTGCCTCCCTGAGTTCCAGGACAGCTGGGGCTACAGGGAGACCCTGTCTCAAAAAGACCAAAAAAAAAAAAAAAAAAAAAGTGTCACCACACCTGGCTTAGATTTTTTTTTTTTTACTAAGACCATGTCTATTTTTCTACTCACTTTGAAATCATTACTTTTTAAATTCATTTATTTTTGTGTATGAGTGTTTTGCCTGCATGTATGTAAAGTGCATCATGTGTGTGCAATGCCTGCAGAGGCCAGAAGTATTAGATCCCCTGGCACTGGAGTTAGAATAGCTGTTAGCTGCGTGTGGGTGCTGGGAACTGAATCCGGATCCTCTGCAAGAGCAGTCAGTACTCTTAACCACTGAGCCATCTCTCCAGCCCCTTTGATGTTTTTCTTTACAGTATAATACTGCACAACTATAAACAGGGTTGTAATAACCTTGCCTACCAATTCCAGATGCTGGAGTCAAGCTCCACTGATTTCCTCAGATGCCATATTTTATATTTATGTCAGATGATTTCAGATTGTACCCTAGGCATTGGAAACACTATGTTATAGATACTCTGGACTCTTGCAATTCTCTTTTATAAAGCAAGAAATTAACTTGGCTTGGCCCTTTCTGTCCTAGGCAGTACCTTTATTCTTAGACCAGGTATTTGGAGTCTCCCCTGCACCTGTGCTTCAAGATTCAGCCAGAAGTGGGTGTGGTGGTGCACGCTTGTACTCCTGGCACTTCTGCAGCTGAGGCAGAACTAAGTTTGAGGCCAGCCTGGGTTTTTAAAAAAAAAAAAAAAAAAAAAAAAAAAAAAGATGTCATAGAAATGGGTACATATCTTGTAATTCCTCTCTCCTAAGGAGCTGGCCATACAAGAGAAATCTGGGGTCTCTGTCTGACAGCTAGCCATACCAGAGAAGTCTGAAGTGGTTTTTTTTTTTTTTCTTCTTCTTTCTGTCTGACAGGTTATCTCTGGCTGGCCTAGAACTCACCGTGTAGATGAGGTTGGCCCAAGCTCACAGAGCCCTCTGTATGCTTTGGCCTCCTGAGTGTTGGGATCAACATATGCATCTCCAGGCCTGGCTGGAGTTGAGACAGGGTTTCCCTATAGCCCCAGCTCACCTGGAATGCACTATGTAGCCCAGGCTGTCCTTTTATCTCTTAAATAGGTCATGTGGATGATAGATTAGGTAATAAACTTGATGACTAGGGTGAAGTCAGAGTCTTTTGAGAAAGCTAGGTAATTCAAGAGCTGGCTATGATATGGTGGGAGATACGCTTAATCCCAGCACTCAGGAAACTGAGGCAGGATGATCAAATGCTTGAGACCATAGGCCAGACATGGTGACATACACCTTTAGTCCTAGCACTCAGGAGGTAGGGGTAGGTAGATCTCTGTGAGTTTGAGTCCAGCTTAGTCTTCATAGCAAGTTCCAGGGCAGCTAGGGCTACACATAAAGACTGTCTTGAAAAACAGAAAAAACAAAAACAAAGCTGGGCGTGGTGGCGCATGCCTTTAATCCCAGCGCTCAAGAGGGAGAGGCAGGTGGATCTCTATGAGTTCCAGGCTAGCCTGGTCTACACAGCGAGTTCCAGGCCAGCTGGGGCTACAGGGAGACCCTGTCTCAAAAAGAACCCCCCCCCACCAAAAAATTGAGCCCAGCCTGGGTTACACAGGTTAGATTCTATATATGAAAAAAGTAGTGAAAAATAGGATAAAAATCAATGAATTTATGATGAACTGTGTAAGAGGGAGCCAAAGTACAAAATGGCCTCCTTAAATTGTTCTGCAAATTTATTCAATACAAATTATGCACTACATAGATGGGGCAGCAGTAACAGATGGAGCTGAATGTGCATTTTTCTCTAACATTCTGTTGATCAGCCCACAATGGCCAACTCTGTTTCACACCATCTCCCAGGTCTCTGTTCATTGTGTTCTACTCATCAGTGCTTTCCTGGCTTTTAATAGTCAAAATACACTCACCACTATGTCTATTTTCTATCCTGTGGGAAGAGGGAAACAGCAAGTACAATTTCAACCTCAAGTCTAAAATTCTCTCAAAGCATATCTGCTCATGTGTCTGTACAAACCACAAAAGAATCTGTAAAACTAGGCTGTAGTGGGGTAGTCAAAACTATTTGTAAAAGGAATGACAGGATGGATACTGGTGAACAAGAGCCTCCACTGTCCAACCTAACATTGATGTATGTTTTTCCCTCTAAGCAATCAGTCCCTCCCCAGTAGAAACAACCCAAAGTTCCACCCAGATTGTGAATCCAGGAAGATGCTGAGGATGTCTGCATATCTGAAAGGAAGACAAAAGACTGTTACTAGGGGCAGTAAATATATTTGGCAACTTCTCTCTCTTACATATAAGGTGATGGGGGAGAGGGCAGTGTGGCAATAAGAAAGACCTTCACGCCAAACATGGACCTACGGAGTAGAAAGAATTATAGGAATATTGCAATTTCTGTCCCTCAGTGTCCAGCCTCATACAAACCAAATACAAAATTTTGAAGTGGTATAAAAAAATGAAGATAAAACAGAAGTGATGTAATGGTTGACAAGAGGAAGAAAAACTTAAGAGTTCTTCATGTTAAAATGGTTTGATATAGCATCTTTAAAAAATCTGGTTAGCATTTTCTGTGATAAAGAATTGCAAGTAAAACATTAACCATCTATTTCACATTTCAAAAATAATAAAATGTATTGACATGTTACTAAATACAGAGTTTAATAAAGACAGTTTTAGGATTGGGTGAGGTGGTAAACACTTAAAATCCCAGCACTCAGTAGGTGCAGGCATGAGGATCAGAAGTTCAAGGCCAGTTGCAGCTACAACAAGTTCTAAGCCAGCCTGAGTTATATTAGAACTTGTCTCAAAAAACAAAAAGAAAACAATTTTAAATCAAAATATAGGGGCTGGAGAGATGGCTTAGTGGTTTAAAGTGCTTGCTGTTCTTTCAGAGGCCCGGAGTTCAGTTCCCAGCACCCCTGTTGTCTTTAGACAGCCTCCTATAACTCCATCTCCAGGAGATCCTTCATCGTCTTCTGACCTCTGAGGGCAACTGCACACAGACACTCACAAAATAAATAAAATACAATAAAAAATTAACGTATTTAGCTTAAAATTCAGCTTTCCACACATAATTGAAAGATTTGGATTTTTTTTTTAATTATCCCAGCAAATGTTACACTAGAGGAAATGATTGGGAAAATACAAATAGATTCATTAAAAACACAGGCTGATTATTTGTTCTATTACATTCAGAAATATGCAAAAACTGCTATACTGCAAAGCTGTAATTTTTTTTCTAGCAAAGCATTACTTTATAAAACTGTAGTGTTGTCATTGATTCCATTTTAATACAAAATACTTATATATACAATACAATATAAAAGTAAACTGGGACGTGCCTTCCACAAAGGGATATATTAAGGCGCTTTACAAATATACCAATATGTTGACCCAAATTACTTTTTGTTTTAGATTAAAACAAACAGGCTAAATGTTTTACTTTAAATATCAAAGGGCTTTTTGTTTATTAAAGAAAAATTTCTAAAGTACCTTGGGTAACAGCAGCAGCAATATCTAAAAAGTCCTCCCACTGTATCTCTAATTCCTAACATATTAAGTCAGAATAAACTACTCCACTCACAGTTGTGCACTTTGCAACAGCAGAAGGTGATGACTGAAAAGTCAGTCTCAAAGTGACTTCTTAGTCATACATTCTAGTTTCTATTTAAAACAGGAATGTAGAAAAGATACAGCAACAGGGCCTGCCTTAGGATGTCACTGAACAGTACATAACAGTATCTACAATTACATAATTACAAGTCACATTTTATAAATACTAGTAATATGTATTAAAGGGGCAAGTATAAAAAAGAGCGAGTTTGTTTTGTTTTAAAAGAAAACATGCAGAACCAATGTTTTTACTCCATTTCAACTGAGAGTATCCACATTTTTTATGTTGTTCTCACTTTTGGTCAGGAAGCACCAGATTCTACGCTGAAAGAGCTCAGGGAATAAAACAGCCCATATGAACATCCAGAACGCTAAAACTGCAGACAATAAAGGCTTGCATACTGCTTCAGAAAAACAAAAAAAGCTTATCCTGTCAAGCAGAAATTTTAAAAGGATACAAAATTTGTAGTGTTTTTCATTTGAAGAGAAGTGATTTTTGTGGGGAAGAGGGAGCACCTTAGTTTTCCTGTGGTGTAAATGTAACGAAGTTGGTTTTCTACTGTATTGCACCATAGTCCAGCAGTAAAACCACTACATGAAAATTTAAATCTGAGTGGAAAAGCTCACAGAACAAGAGAGTTACTTATGAATACCAAGTTAAATATTCTCAAACGTGTTTTGCACAGGATTTTACAGGACTATTCAAACTTTCATGAAGTAAAGACTTCATGTTTGGTGACAGTACATTTTCTTATAATTCTGATTCAAAATATTTCAGAAACACCAAACAATTCAGTGCCCTAAAAATGGTGTTTAAAACCTTCCACTGTTGTACCAGCATTCATCAGGTCATTATTTCACATACTACAGACCTTTCCCCCATAACATTATCATCATGTGTACATTTTAAATGTGCTCATCTAAGTACTGTATTAAAAGAAAATTTCTTCAGTTTAGTATATCAATTTTCTTATAGGATAGAGGTCTTTAACCTGCAGTCTGTGACATGTTTCATCATGTCCAGAGTCTATTCAAACTGCAAGTCACACTTTCTCTGTATGTGCTGCTATGCGTTTTTGTCCTAGGGCCAGAGTTCACAAAGCCTTCATTAGATTCTCAGAAGAACCAGTGACCCCTAAGGCCCACCTTTACACTGCAACAGTTTTCAAGCTAAACACAGATGTGTGAACTAATATTTTTCCTTCTTCCAATTTAACCAAACAGCTTTGCTTTTTATTTTACTATGCATATGGTTTTAAACATTAGCTTTAAACAATTTCATGCCAATAAATCTTAAGGAAATAAGATACAAACTTTACTAAGGTCAGAATAGAGTCTGATTCTCCTCCTTAAAAGATATTAAGACTGTTATGCATTTTGGTATGGAACAATTCTTCTGTAGAACCTACACAATATATAAATTGGCATATGAATCTTATTTAAGAGATCCTCAATTCTCTACACTACTATATAATTTTTTCTAATTAGGAATGGCCATGACAATTAAGAGCTAATTAATAATTTCTTAAACCAATTAACCTACTGTTAGGTATATTACCAAATAGCTATATTTTCCTTTGCCAACAATTTGTTGAACTATTCTAAAAGAAAAAAAATCTATATATTTGATGACTTAAGATTGATCACTGTACAGCAAAGGTACTTATTTTGGGGAGGAGGGGTGCTGGGGACTGAACCCAGGACTTCATGTATCTTAGGTAAGTGCTCTATCATTGAGCTACATCCACAGTCCCCTAGGAAAAGTACTTTCTTAGTAAGTTGAAGCAGAAAAGTTCTAATCAAACCTTTATAAACTGAAAATAGTTTCTTTGCTTAGGAGAGATGTAATTTTTTTTCTAACTTCAAGGTAAAAAATGTTAAAGACCTTAGTTTCCAGTATTTGAAATTCTGACTATGGCAACTTTGTTCCCTTTTAAAACTGGAAGCAGCATTAATATCAATATGAAAACAAAACTGATAGTGCTCTGGCTTCTTTTAAAGCCGGTAATGAGAGAAAATGCTAGATTAAATACTCCTATGGAGGAGAGGGGGTAAACTGAACTACTTTTCATTCTAAAGAACACATTGTTTCCACTCTATTTCCTGGTTCCAGGATATGACTTGCACAGACTATCATGAGCCTAAGAATACTTTCTAAAAATGATGGCTTACTTTCTTTAGCTTATTTTGAACCAAAGCCAAGGGAAATAATGGGTATGTTTCATATTTGGTCAAAGCAAGATAAAACTAAAACTGTCTTTCAAAAACTCTTGAATTTTAAAAATTATTTAGCATATATACAAATAGATACCAGGTTTCTCTTTTTAAAACAGAGCACTATTTTTTTAAGTACTTTAAGTACCAAGAACTGACTGTAATATTCAGTTCATAATTTACTTATAACAATTTATTCTAAATTACTGATTTAAAAAGGTGGAATAAATTAACATTTTTAAAAGGATTTCCCATAATTTAGGAAAATAAAATATACACAGAGCATACATACGAAGCTCTGTCACATTTGCATAACCTTATTCTCAAAATCTCAAAAACCTTGCATGTCAGGCCTTTTTTGCAAATTCTTACTGTTACGTCCTAGTCTATTAAACATATACTAGATCACGATTTTTGATATCAGAGCCTGTATGTTGATCATCTTCATCCAACTGTTGCTCTGAATCTTGTGAATTAACATATTCATATTCTATAGGCTTTGGATAATTATATGGGTAGCCATTGTCATCAAAAAACCTCCGAAAAGTAAATTCATAGAAAGCATGTTCAGGATGTTTTCCATTTTTATACCATCCATTGAGAGTGTCATTTACATTTTCTTCCTCATTATCATCACTCCACAACTTATCAGGATCAACAGGGTCAAAATTTGATGTATCTGTTGGGTGCGTGATTTTAGGAATGTATGAAGCAGACTGCTGTCTCAGATCACTGGAGAAATCAATGGTTTTAAAAAATGGATGAGCCTTGATTTCATCAGCACCATTCTTGCCTAAGCGATCTTCTGGTCCTCGGCAAAGTTTGATAATCAGATCAGAGGCTTCAGGACTCAGTTTAGCTTGTGGTGGAATGTGAAGAGAAGTTTGCCAGTTGATAACCTTTAAAGAAGAGTTTTAAAAATTAGGAAGGAAGAAATGAAAACCAAAAATTTCCTCCAAGTTTTATAACAAATGTCTTACTGAACTATTTGTTTTTCTAAATAATTTGTGTGGTATTTTACCTTTAATAATGAATTGTTGCTGGGAGATAATATTTTCTCCTATCCCACCCTGTTCAGAAGACTCACATAAGTTTTTACCTCCTTTTTAAGCTCTGCTGGGAGAAATAACTACTTTGATTCTGCCTCCTCTGTATCATAGATTTACTTCCATCAAAGTATTTCTAGGACAGGGCATGGTAGCACATGCCTTTAATACCAGTGCTCAGGAGGCAGAGGCTGATGGATCTCTAAGTGTGAGGCCAGCCTAGTCTACATAGGGAGTTCTAGGCCAGCCAGGGCTATAACTTGAGACTGTCTCAAAAAACAAAACAAAGCAAAAAAATTCTAATACTTTCTGGAACCTATTTAAATATGTTTTAGTGCAAAGTTCCATAATGCTAGAAAATGTTTTGTCTTTATATTTCCCACATTTGGCAAACTGTTTCAGACTAAGAGAGGCTCAATAAGTCTTTGATCTTTGATTTGGTTTTAAATAAAATGAGGAAGATAGAAAGGAATGCCAAGTGAACTTTCAGGCAGGGATATATATATGTATATATTTTTGTTTGTTTGTTGAGACAGTCTCTCTATAGCCACAGCTGGCCTGGAATTCACTATGTAGTAGACCAGCCTCTCTGCCTCCTGATTGTTGGAATTAAAGATTAAAGGTGTGTGCTACCAAGTGTTGTTGTTGATATTTCTGAGACAGGCCTTAAACTCTCATTCTCCTGCCTCAGCCTTCCAAGTGGCTGGAATTGCGGGCATGTACCACCATGCTCATCTTATAAATTTATTCTTTAATTCCATATTAAGATGCCTTTAGTAAAGTACAGGTTAAAAACTCCTAATCCAAAAATCCAAAATCTGAAATGCTTTAAAAACCCAAAATCTTGAAAGTTGCCTTGATGCTACAAGTAGGAAGTTCCTCACCTAAGTCCTTATGAGTGCATTCAGAAGAAATGCACATGGCTGGGGACATAGTTCAGTGGTACAGCACTTGCCTAGCATATCTCAGGCCCTGGGCTTGAACCTTACCATTCAAAAGAAAAAAAAAAAACAAAGAAGATGCACTAAAATTACTGTATAACATTTTCTTCAAGTTGTATGATACATACATGACTTTCATGTTTAAACTTGAGATCCATCCCCAAGATAATTTAAGATGTATATGCAAATATTAAAAATCTGAAAGAATGTGAAATATTTCTGGGTCTTGAGTGTTTTAGAAAAGATATATACAGGTCAAACAAGTTTTTTTTTAATGTATTATAACATATATAAAGAACTATGGTATGGGGACTTTGTGACAATTTGGGGTGTAGGTTCTATAACTTACCTTCATTTGTGTTTCTAATGGTGTTTGTGCCAAGAATGGAGGCTGTCCCACCAACATTTCAAAAAGAATCACACCAACACTCCACCAATCACATAACTGTGTATATCCTGAAGATAACAAAATTACATAGTTATTCACAAGAACTCTTTAAAAATGATCAAAATTAACAAAAATATTAGGTCAATAATTTATACTGTCAAATCAATACTTTTATCATAAACTTGAAAAGAAATAAGGTGTATTCTGATGTAAATTTTGGCTGATGTAAAGGCCAAATTATTCATGAACTTATTTATAAAAAATACATGCTTTACCTGTCCGCAGTAACACTTCAGGTGCAATATAATTGGGAGTCCCAACCAAAGAGTGTGCTAGACATCGCTGGTGCTGGCGTGCAGCTCTCCGCTCCAGTGGCTTTAGTCTATCTCCACATCGACAATTCGAGGGATCACCCCATTCATTACTGAAATCCATGCTATCTTGCCGGGGATGATCACCTGTACAATAAGAAGAAAAAATGAAATGAAAGCAGCAAGGATGAAAAGTAAACCTAAAGTCTACTGAATCTTTTGATATCACGACTCAGGGCTAAAAATACTTTCCCTATGATAAATTAATACACAAAGTATGTCAAATCTAAATCAATGAGCTCCAGCTCCAGTGAGAGACCTTGTCTTAAAAAACTAAAGTGAAAATAAATAAATAAATAAATAAATAAATAAAAGAAGGGGCCAGCAAGATGGCTCAGCAGGTAAAGGTACTTGCTGCCAAGCCTGATGACCTACATGGTAGAAGAACAGAACCAAATCCTGCAAGTTGTCCTCTGACTTCCAAACACACTATGGCACGCATACACCTGTGCACAGACACGTACAATGTATAAAATAATATAAATGTAAAAATAACGTAGAGAGCAATCAAAAAGATACCTGATGCAGACCTCTGGCCTCCATTGACATGTGCACTCCCTCCTCCTATACATGTACACACCCATACAAAAATAAACCAAAAACAAAACAACAGAGTAAGGATGATGATGGTTCTCGGTGGTAGAGTGACTCAAGGGGAGTGCACATTTAGCATAGATGAGGCCCTGGGTGCCAATCCCCAGCAACCTCCCCAACCACGACCAAAAAAATCTAGGCATGGCATGAACCTGTGGCCTCAGCTACACAGGAGGCTGAGGCAGAAAGATTACTTGAACCTAGAAATTCAAGGCCAGTCTTTCTTTAAAAAAGAAACAAGGAGCTGGGCATGGTAGCACATGCCTTTAGTCCCAGCACTTGGGAGTTCAAGGCCAGCCTGGTCTACATAGTGAGTTCCAGGACAGCCAGGGCTACAGGGAGACCCTATAATAAAAAATAAAAAAAAATTTTTTTTTCTCTTTTTGACACAGGGCCTCCCTGTAGTCCCAGCAGACCTGAACTCACTATGTAGTCGAGGCTGGCCTTGAACTCACAAGGATCCGCCTGCCTCTGCCTCCCGAGTGCTGGGATTAAAGGCATGCGCCACCACACCCGGCAAATATTTTTTAAAAAGAAACAAGAGACACTGAAATGTTCTACAAAGACAATACAGGTTGTAACACAAATGTGACTGGACAGTTACATTAGATTGAGTGGCTGGGGGGAGTCCAATTTAGAAAGTAACACTTGCTAAGATGTAAAAAAACAAGGACCCAACCATGTGAAAACCAGGACAAAGTTTTCCACAAAGAAAGAGCAACAGAGAGAAGGCCAGTACAGCTGACAGAGGAGGAGAATGGTTGAAAATGGAAGATGAACACATGGATTTTTCAGAGAAAAGATATTGGAGAATCCAAAGCAAGAGGATGACAAGATCTGAGTCATGATTTTTTTTTAAAATCTGCAGGGTGTAGAGAATGAGGCAGGAGGAAAAGAAAATAATATTCAAGTTTCACTGTGAAGAATAGACTGCAGGGAGGACAAGGTTAAAAACTGGTCAATTAGACAACAGCTGTAGCTTTGGCTTAGGATGGTAACAATGGAGCTGTAGAGAAGTGACTGACTCAGGATATACTTTAGTGATACAGTAAAACAGAACTTCATTCAGAGTAAAAAAGAACCAGGACACTAGGCAGGTAGCAGTGATACAATTTTCTTCAACAGAAAGACTGAAGTTGAGCAGATAGGGAAGTGGTAGTTGTGTTCTTTGTTAAGTTTGAATGGCTATTTGAAATCCATGTGGAGAAGGGAGAAACCATTTCTAGAAAAGAGATGTGAAAATCTTTAACATATATAGGGTATTTAAAGCCATGATGAGATGAAACCCCTAGAGAAATTGTATCTGAAATTAAACTAATTATAATAACTATCTGAGAAATTTCACTGAAATACAATTTCCATTTTCCAGCCAAGATTTTCAATCAAAGGCTGAACAGAGCCTAGGAATCACAGTTTTAAGGAGAATCACAGGCAATAAATTAAATCTGGCACTTAATTCTATCCATTTAATCTGTGCTGGGCATGGTGGCACATGCCTATAATCCCAGAACTCAGGAAGCTGAGACAGGAAGACTGTGAGTTTGAGTTCAGCTTGGCATATACAGTAAGGTACAGACTGACCTAGGCTACACAGTGAAACTCTGTCCAAAACAAACAAACCAACAACCCAATTGGCTTGTGTTCTCAAAAGCAGACGGCTAATAATACTTACCACAGAGGATTTCTATAAGCACTAAATTAGAAGATATGTAAAGCACCTAATACATAAAGTATTCAACAAACATTAGATCAACTTACACTTCCATAAGCGCTTGAAGGGTTCTTGGTGAGGCAGTGTGGTAGAAATAACATGGGCCCTGTAATCAGACAAACCTGGGTTCAAAGCCTAGCCCTTACACTTATTTCTGTCTGACCTCGGACAAGTTACTTTACCTAACTCTCACTTTCTTCATCCTGCCTCAGAGTGTCATATAATTAATTATGTGCATGTGTTTAGGGTTAATAAGTTGTGTGACAGTCATACACAGTCATCAATTGCATTAAAAACACGTTATATGCAGTAACATGGAGAAAGTTCAAACATAAAAGTAAACAATACATACAGAATGATTACATTTCAATAGTTTCAAGAATAGGCAAAATGAAGTAATATATTGTTGAAGAACATAATAAATAATGTGATAAGATTGGGCCAAGAGGCACAGGCCTATAACCCCAGATACATAGGCAGCGGAGGGAAGGATCTCAAGTTCAAATCTAAATTTGAAGCTCAAGTCTGAGCTTGAGCTACAGAGTAAGTTAAGTTCAAGAGTAGCCTGGGCAACCTAGTAAGAGCTTGTCTCAAAATAAAAAATACAAAGTAAGTGAATATAGCTCAGTAGTAGTTAGTTGCTCAGCATGTATGAGGCCCTGGCAAACAATAATAAAAGTAGAGCCAGACATGGTTGTGTATGCCTTTAATACCAACACTCCAGAGGCAAAGGCAGATGATCTCTGTGAGATTGAGGTCAGCCTGGTCTACACAGTGAGTTCCAGGCCAGCTGGGGGTTACAGGGAGACCTTGTCTCAAAAAGACAAAAAACAAAACAAAAACAAACCAGAGAAAAGTAAGGAACAGATTATAAAATTTTTAAACGATGGTTCTCTCTGGAGGAGAGAAAGGGGGATGGGGTTGACTGTTTAAAAGACCTCTAACAACATGGTTAGTTATCATGGTCAACATGGAGACTTCATTTCATTTCAGGGTTCGAGAGATGGCTCAGTAGTTAAGAGCACTTCTTGCTCTTCCGGAGGACCTAGGTTTGGTTCCCAGCATTCATGTAGAGGCTGATAACTATAACTCCAGTTCCAGAGACTCCAACTCCCTCTTTGGACCTCCCTGGGCACTACATTTACAAGGTGCACTTACATACAATGTAGGCAAAACATTCATACAGTTTACAAAGTGAGTTGGCCAGCTGAGGCTACAGAAAAACCCTCTCTCAAAAAGACCACACACAAAAAAAAAAGCTAAGTGCTTAAAGGATTCACTTAAATTTAATCCAAGAGAATTAAGAACCAATCTATGTCTGCTGGTTTCATTTGGAAGACACCATCTTAAACTGCACTGCATTAAAAAAAAAAAATCACATTATGGTAAGCAGAATGAAGTTAATAAGCTACTTACCACTCTGATAATACTTGGAATCATGGGTCCATCTGAATCCGGTGCACAGACCAAAGTCAGTCAATTTAATATGACCATCACGATCAATCAAAATGTTATCAGGTTTAATATCTCTATGAATAAAACCCATTTTATGAACACTTTCGACTGCACAGGTAAGTTCTGCTATGTAGAATCGTGCCAGATTTTCTGGAAAAATGCCCATTCTAATTAATAGGCTCATCATATCACCCCCAGGAATGTAGTCCATTACAAAGTATAAATTATCCTTATCTTGGAATGAATAATATAAGCGAACCACCCATTCATTGTCGGCTTCGGCCAGGATATCCCTCTCAGCTTTAACATGAGCAACTTGATTTCGGAGCAGAACATCTTTCTTTCGAAGAGTTTTTGTTGCATACAAAGCTTTAGTATCAACTTTTCTTGCAAGACAGACTTCACCAAATGCTCCTATTCCTAGTGTCTTTATCTTCACAAACATAGACTTGTCCATTTTAGCCCTTTTAAGACGAATATAGTTAGATTCTTTTTGGCAAAGCATCTTTCTCATTTGATCCTGGGCATCTTGAGATAATCCAACCTAGGTAAATAAACTAGATATTAAATAAGGCATTGCATTCAACATTGAATATTAAGAAATAGCTCAAGAAAAAAATTCAGGCATATATTTGAAAGTTAAATGCATAATTATTTTTAATAAAGCATGTTAGAATTCTAGAATGTATTTCAGAGAAAATGATCAAAGTCAAGCTTAAGAGATAGTAAACAATATACAAAGTGAGTATATATGCAAATTTAGCTGTGGAGAGCAAGGAAAAGAGGATAACAATCAGGCTTCTATTCTTCTCTAAAGCACTCAAAATGTAGCGTCCCAATACATAACAAACAAAACAAGTATCTGTTAACATGCATTCTCAACTCCTTCCATGCATATTCATCCCAAATTACAGAATTAGACAGCCTTCATTAAATCCTTTTTGTAAACTGTTTAGCCCTCAAATATTTTTTTTCCTTATTTTATCTTTCACAAAAAAATTGTTTCACTCAAGGCCCATTTATTCTTAAAAGTACAAAACAAACAGCAACAAACCCCCAGTGTATTACAAAGAATTCTTTCCATACCCAACCTTTTCCCCATTCTCAAGAAACATATGAAAGTCATGAGTCTTTCCTTTTTTCCTTAGAGCATTAGCATAAGGATGAGACTCATTGTCCACCCCTAACAAAAGGATTCTCCTATCACATTTAAAAAGAATAATCTGTTTGGTATTTTTTAGATATTCTGGAAAAAATAAGTCATTATAATTAATGACATAAAAAAAGATGAAAATAAAGCTCATCTTCTAAGTAGCTATGGAACACCTGGATTTAGAAGGTAGGAAGTTTCTTTTGACTAATAAAATCTTTAACTAGAGTCTAAATAGAAAAAAAGTTTATTTGGAAATGTAAAGTCTAATTTTGAAAATGGAAGACTAATTCCACTCTAGCAACCTCATGTTTTTGTTAGGATGAGCATCTGCATGCAAAATTTCTTAAATACAGGAGCACGCCACACTTAGTACGGAGCTGCTTCTCTTAAAATCTTACTTGCTGCATAGTAATGGAGTTTACGGAAGTCAGCAAAGCTTCCAACACCGTAAAATTCTAAATCAGCTATTAGTGAAAGTGAAGACGAAAAAGGGAAAATAAGACACACTTATGGATAGACTTTAGTAAGAAATTCTAAGAACAACAACATGAGTAAAAGAAATTATGGTATTTCTCATATAGCATAATTCCACTAATAATAAGAAAATACTGTACTGAACTGTAAAATAAGATCTGGAATAATCAGTTTATAGTTATCTCAGGTATGAGAAGAAGCTTAGTCACACATTTGTATCTTACATTTGAGTGGTAGCTATAAAAGGAAGATTTGAATATTTGAATTCTGAGCATATGATAAAAGGATGATGATGATGATAGTTCTACTGGAGTATCTAACAAAGAGATCCATGTGTATCACAATACACATCAATCTGAAGGGAGTGTTCACTTACTCTAATAACATTTCAACACTTTTTTCTCAAATATTATTTGAAAAGGAGAGAGATGACAGACACTCTCAAATAGGGTGATGAATAAATCCCCAAATTTTCAAGTACAAAGAAATGTTTCTTATGGATGTCAAGAAATGATCCAGATTATTTCTATCTGATTGTTTGGTTTGAGACAGGGTGTCAGTGTCTGGAACTTACTTTGGAGACCAGGTTAGCTTGGAATTCAGAGATCCATCCACCTGTCTCTGGGATGAAAAGGCATGCAACCACCATGCCCAGCTCCAGCTTATTTATTTTTATTTTATTTTATTTATTTTTTTGGTCTTTTCAAGACAGGGTCTCCCTGTAGCCCCAGCTGTCCTGGAACTCACTATGTAAACCAGGCTGGCCTTGAACTCATAGAGATCCGCCTGCTTCTGCCTCCCAAGTGCTGGGATTAAAGGCGTGCGCCACCACGCCTGGCCCAAAATTATTTATTTTAAAATGTACATAAGAACTGTATTATAGGACATACTGAATAAATCTTGAACTACTAAAATATTATAATAAAAATACTCTTAAAGGTTACTCAAATGATTGATAATATAGTACATTTAGCTATTAAGACTGGTGCACAATACTTTAAAATACCAAGAAAACAGATAATTAACTATGAAAATGGATATTTTAAGAACTTTTACCCGCATCATTTCATTCTCTAATTGTTTTTTCCGATGCAGACGTTGCTGATGAGATTTCAGGACATTTTCTACATGTTGCTCCATAAAGAATTTAAATGCTTGAGGAGAATAACTCTGAATACGAGATTCCCTTCGCTCTTCGTCTTTCTTATTTTTCCTAACGGTGATAGGTGAAGTTGTAATCTGTTTTTTTTCTTTATCCCCACTATCAACGGTTTCCAAACTTTTTTCACCCTCATCTTCCTTGGGTAAGCTAGGCTGATCCTCTTTGCAAGATTTACTTATTGACTCATATGGAGGAACAGATGGGTTTTGGTGTAGTAGATGTTTCGGATAAGGTGGTGGTGGGCCTTGATAGTTTGGGGCTTCAGCAACAGGAGGAATAACAGTTACATTTGAAGTGGTACCCTCAGAAAAAGGATTAGGTTGAACAGTTTGAATTGGCTGTGGTATCCAAGAAGGGTGGGTAGGTGCTAAAGCAGTCTGTAGTTCTGGTTTTAATACACGCATGCTTTTCACAGGCTGTTGAATAGGAGCTGGTGTGATTGCAGTGACGGTAGTAGCTGATGGCTGAGAATTAGCAGAGTGACTTGTTCTATTTCCTAATGGGTTATTAAAAGAATTTGACCTCACTGGTACGTTAGATTGCCATGTAGGAATTTCATGCCCACTGCTTGGGGATGATTGGGCAGGAGCGGAAGATGACTGAGGCCAAGTTGTTTGCAGTCCAGGTACACTAATATTATAAAGTTCCATGTTATGACTATTTCTGTTTGGCACCATCATCGATTGAGGAATATTTCCATTTGTGTATGATGAAGGAGCAGGAGATCCCCCAGTTTGTAAAGAAGAGTTCTGTCCATTAGTTGGGGTCAGAGGATAAGGAGGTGGTGGCTGCCGATTCACAGCACTAGCAGGAACAACATTTTGGTGCATGATAAAATCAGTTTGACCACCACCATTCTGAATTCCAGGTCTCCCTGGTGGAAAGTTAAATTTATTAGTGCTCTGCATGATAATTGGTTGTCTGCCAAGAGGGACAGAATTAATGCTTCTCTGTCCCTGGTTAGGAGGATTCATAGAGGAAGAGTTAAGAGGTGGTGGAGGATAGCCCTCCTGCCATGCCCCAGGTGGAACAGGAGAGATGCGAGAGATTACATACTCCATGCTCCCAGAATAGCGCTTTGTCTGAGAGTTTGGTTCCCATGAGGGGGGAGGTGGAGTTGTGCCTCGTGGAGGGGGAGTTTGTCCTCTTGGAGGAGGTGGAGGAGTGACACTCCTTACTTGAGGTGGTGGTGGTGGGTTCACTCTCTGTCCGTTGCTTGGGTGAGCTTGAGAAAATGCTGTAATACTGGATCCAGACAAAGGTCTTCCTACATCTGTTTGTGAGTTGGGACTTTCAGAATGGTAAGTCACACTTTCTCCTAGAGGTGGGCCATGTCTCTGAGGAACTAAGGACTCTTTAGAACCTTTCCAGCTTTGTTTGCGGTTAATTGACTGTTGCACATTTCCTGTGGTTATAAAAGAGAGAATAGTCATGTTTTTAACCTTTCATTTTTGAATCATTTATCTCAGAATTCTAATATTCTTTTTTTTTTTTTTTTTTTTTTTTTTTTCTTTTTTTTTTTTTTTTTGTCTTTTTGAGATAGGGTCTCTCTGTAGCCCCAGGTGTCCTGGAACTATGTAGACCGGGCTCGGAATTCTAATATTCTAAATGATACTTAATTTTAAGAATTCTAAAGAAGTTTAAGATTCATTGTACAATATGTTAAATGTTAAGAATTATTTTTTTAAGAAATTTTTATTTTTATGTATATGAGTGTTTTGCCTACATATATGTAAGTGTAACATCACATGTGTACAATGGTCTGTGTAGGCCAGAGAATCCCCTGGAACTGGAGTCACAGACAGGTGTTAGCTACCATGCGGGTGCTGGGAACTGAACTTGGATCCTCTGGAAGAACAGTAAGTTCTCTTAACCACAGAGCCATCTCTCTAGCCAGCTGATTATTCAGAGGGTCTTGTTTGTTATCCCTAATAATTATAATAACCATCTTGCTTGTTATCAAGTTCCTAATCCTCTGTCTCAGATTTCTATGTCCTGGGAAAATGAGGGTCCACTACTCAACCCATATCTAAGAGAACAGATTTTAATTATTCCCATCATAGCCTCCCCCTGAAAAAGTGACGTAGTATGTATGTTAACTACCTTGATTTAGCCCCCAAAGAAAAGATTGTGAAATAAAATTTCAGTAAGCAACTTTATTTTAAACTTTTCTTTTTTTTTTTTTTTTTTTTTTTTTTTTTTTAGATAGGGTCTCCCTGTAGCCCTAGCTGTCCTGGAACTCACTATGTAGACCAGACTGGGGTTGAACTCACAGAGATCTGCCTGCCTCAGCCTCCCAAGTGCTGGGATTAAAAGTGTGCACCACCACGCCCAGCTAAACTTTCCTAATTTTTAAAAACCTTTTTGAGAATTTCATACTTGAGTATTGTATTTACATCATTCCTTCTCCTCACTCCAACTTTCTCCATTAGTCCCCAACTCCATGTCAAATTCATGACATCGTCTTTAATTTTTATTGCTACATATATATGTAACCTACTGAGTTCATTTAGTGTTGCTTATATGTACATGTGTTTAGGGCTGACCACTTGGGATTGGATAAATATCAGGGGGCTCATCCCTAGAAAAAAATGATTCTCCCTTCTCTCTGTACCCACTGATTGCCTGTAGCTCTTCATCCAGGGGTGGGACCTACCATATGACCAAACTATAACACTCCTTGGCATATACCAAAGAGAAATTTGCTCAGTTATGTTCACTGGCACTTCTATTCATAATAGCTAGGAAATGAAAACCTAAATGTCCTTCAACTGATGAATGGATAATGAGAATGTGGTACATTTACACAATGGAATTCTATTCAGCCATAAAGAAAAAATATAAAATGGAATTCTATTCCATTGTAAAGCAAAATGAAATTGGGGTAGAGCGATGGCTCAGAGGTTAAGAGCACTCTTGCAGAGGACCCAGGTTTGGTTCCTAGCACCCATATGGGGACTCACAACTGCCTGTAACTCCAGTTGCAGGGGCTCTGATCCCTCTTTTCTGACCTCTGTGGGCACCGAGGCACACATATGGTACATATACATACATGCAGGCAAATACTCATACACATAAAATAAAAACAATTCTTGGGGCCAGAGAGATGGTTCAGCAGTTAAGAACACTGGTTGTTCTTGCAGAAGACCCGGGTT